GTCCCCTCAGGGGCACCAAGGACATCATTATCAGGCCAGACATCTAGTTCCTGTTGCCTGAGTGCTCTCCCTTCTCCAGCGTGGAGAGCAGCACCATCACCTGTCCACGGTGAGGGCGTCGCCCCCAGCTCACACCCGCCTCTAAATCTCATCTCCACGGCACTGCAGAGCTCAGGTATTTGCAATGAACCAGCTCCAGGGAACAGCTTGACTACCTGCCCTCCTCTTGCACAGCTCAGCCCCCAAAATGTCCCTTTCCACAGTCCCAAAACCCTGCCCTCCAGCAAAGCACTGCCTTACCTCTCCCTGGAGGAGACTCCACTGCCAGGAAAAACAATTCTGGGACGTGATCACCAGAACAGCTTCTGCAGGGCTGGTGAGGGGCACAGGAAGCTCTCTCTTGCCATCAGCAGGATCCTTCCCCTGCTTCTTGCTGTTACCTCAAAGCCATTTGTCTCCCCTGCCTAAATCCCTTCTCCCACAGTTCTGCTGGGCTGCACCACCCAGAGCAGCTTGGCTGAGAGGCTGGGGGGACCACAAGCCCTGACATCAACATTTCCCAATATTTCCTTATGCTGCTCTGCATCTGTCTGGCTTGGCTCCCTCTGCAACCCCCAATGAGGACTGAACCATGAAATGGCACGACCAGGGCTACCAGAGCAGCCAGTGGCAGAGTGGAGCTGGATCCACATCTCCAGGTGAGCTCTAGCAGCCAGACCATCTTTCAGGAATGCTCAAAAGCATCTCACTGCTGAGAAAAGCATTCATGGATTAAGTAAGAGAAACTTCAGAGGTTTACCTGAGCCAACACAGCAGGGGAGAAGCAAGTCCAGGAGAGGAATTCAAGATGAGTGCCCAACCACACCTTTGATATGCCCATGGTATTAATCATTGGAACCATCGGTAATAAGTCCTGTCTCCTGTCTAGACTTGGAGGCCATACCCAGACTGCAGAGCCTGTGAACCCAGCACAAAGGCCTACTTGAAATGTGCTTTTTTTGAACATAAAAGAAGCTGAGAAATAAAGATGGGTCCTTTGTTGCAGGAGTGGAATTGCAGATAGTCGATTTTCAAGTCTGATTTCTCCTCAGTTTTCACCAGGCAGAAGTTCTATTTCTTGCTGATCCTTAGGAGATTTGGTTTGGCAAAATCTCTCTGAGGAACTTGTGTAATCCCATCCTGAGGTTGCTGGACTTTACCTTTGTTTACCAACTCCACCAGTTGTATGTATGTATCCAGTGCATCCCAGACAGGGACGCAGCAGTGTCACCTACAACGGACTGGGACCCACAGTCCCTCAAAACAGGACCTGATGGACAAAAGCAAAGGGCTCCTGCTGCTGTAGGATGAAGCTGTGTCTGTGAGGATGAGAGCTGTGTATATTAAATGCCAAAAACACGTGAGGAATTCCCAAAGGGATGGAGCTTGAGGCCATCTGCTTGGGAAAAGCAGGAGAGCAGAACTCCTAGGAGCATGGACTGGAAACTCCACAGTGAAGTGAGGCCAGAGGCGGTGAGGAAGTGACAACACCTGCACAAATGTACCCAAAATCCCATAATCACTGAAATGGGGCTGAGTTCAGAGAGGGAGGGTCTCCCCAACAAAGACCAAGACCCCTGAAACTGCACCCCACACCAGCAGAGCCCACTTGGCACCATGCACACCCACTGAGCACAAAACCCTACAGACCTTTTAATTACCAAAGAGAACCGAACCCACAAGGAGACAGAGCAGTCCCTGCTCCATCCCAGCTCAAGGGATCCTGCTGGATAATTAGGACAGCCTGGCTATCACTTCCTGCCTCGCTCCATTTCATTTTATTCTTAATAAAAAAAAATATATTTTTTTATACTTTTCTCCTAAACCGCCTTGGATTTTTCTGCTGTCTAAATTCATCTGGGCTCTGTACAATGTCACCAGGTCAGCTTGTGCTCCTGCTGCAATTCTAATTTTGTCAGCTTTACATTTTCTAGGCAGTTGGGAGATTTTTCGTTCTTTGCTCCTTTTTTTTTTTTTTCTTCCCCCAAGTCAAAAATGATTTTGCATAACAGTATAACATTAATGGCCCTGCACAGTGCATCCAGATTACAACTGCAGCTAGGGAGAAATAAACATCTCATCTTTGCCCTGCTGTTTATCTCCCCACAGCAGAGCCTGGTATCAGGTCAGAACCTGTAATTTCATTAACTTTATCACTCAGACACGCTTGTTGCGAGATGTCATTATTCAGCACATCACTCCTGTGTTTTGTTTGTGCTGGGATTCACTTCAGATGCTCTGGCACCACATGGGAGCATCCCTCCCATCCACATCGCTGCCTGAGCTGGGGAGGAAAGTTTGGCTTGCTGAGCTGTGATCTGCAAAACATTTGTGCTGCTCAGCCCTCCTGGGCAGGGACTGCATGGAGCAGAGCCATCCAGAGCAATTCCCTGCCTGATTCTCTGACTAGATACATGCAGAAGTGGTGAATAAACCCCCACAGTCTTCCTCACAGAAAGAAAAACTGACCCAGCAGACACCAAGCGTGGGGTGTGGAAATCCCCAGTGATGGGAAGTGAACAACCCAGCGCCTGCAAACCAGGCAGTGCCCAGCACAGGGGGGAAGCTGCAGCTCAGGCAGGTGGAGGGTGAGCAGAACTGCTCCATCTCCCCTGGATTTGCCATCCCTGGTAATTAATGCTGGGAAGACTTGAAAGAGCTCTGCTGACAGCCCTGCGAGGAGAGATCGTTTGGAGCCGCTGACAAGTCCAGCTGATGCCTTATCACAAGGAGCTCAGCAAGAGCAGCAAGGAGAGCTTTCCCAAGGGAGCTGCTGGATTCCCTGGGATGCAGGCACAGCTCCAACCCATCCCCAGCGACCACAGTGAAACCTGGCAGTGCAGCTGGGCACAGGAAGGCTGATCTCTGTGGCACTACAGCCACGCTCCAGCTGGTGTCTTAGTGCCTCACCTTCAATCCAGCTGCACAGCATGCCAGCAGAACTGGCTCCAGTCCCTGGGGATCTAGGTGTCCAGCACATCCCTCTGGCTGCAGTGTCTTGAGACCTGGCAGAGTCAGAGACCTGGCATGAAGTCAAAAACCTGTGCTTTGATTTTAGCCCATGGAAAAGCTGTCAGTTTTCTATGAGGAATCACAAGCCACAAGGGTTTGAATAGTGTGATATTTGATTAACACAAGGTGGAAAAGTAGAAATTTGGGGTTTTTAGAATGTAGTTCAGGGGTCAAGATGAGGAATTTGGGCATTCCTGACATTCTTTTCTTGCCTCCATGTCTTGCTGTGATGGTGACACTTTTCGACTGGTTTAAGGAAGACACAGTATACTACATTATAGGTATTGGCACATTATTAAAGTACACGTAATTTTGAGTATATATATAAACTCCTCTGAGGCGAGGGGCAGAGCATGGCTTCCTTTTAGATGGACTCGGAGGTCAGAGAAATGTTATAGATAAGAAAAAAAACCAAACTTGAGATCGATCCTATGAATTTTAGATTTCTTCTTTGGCTGCACAGGCTGGCAAACAATGACTTTTACTCTTGGGGTCCCAACAGGCTGACCCTGAGATCCAGGTACCAGGTGGCTGCTCACACTGAAGCTTCTCCACCCACATGCCCATCCACAGGAATCTGGCTGTGACTGCTGCTCATGTGCTGGCCAAGGCACCTGGGAGCATTCTGAGTGACCACGCTTCCCCTGCCTGTGCACCAGGTCAGAGTGGAAAACCCAGCGCATCTATTCATATCTGCACTCTAGAAACCCTAGATCTGAACCACAGCCACCTCATCCTGGGCAATCCAGGCTCTGAGCAGCTTCAGCAGGGAGGAGTAAGCAGCACAAACACAGTTTGGCTCCTTGAGCAGAGCCTCATCCAAGAGGGAAAAGTGCCATCTGGGAGGAGGCATACGGTGAACTGGCACAGTCTGGAAGGATCAGACTAGGCAAGGCACAAACCTGCCTCGATCCAGGCACAAAGCCTGACAGCATCACAAGCAGAGCTGGTGGGAGCATTTGGGAACATCTCTCCCAGCTCAGGTATCCCACAGGCAGCTTCCAGCTTAGGGCAGAGGGTTCAGCCATGTAAGTTTGTTATTGCCAGTTCCTGAAGCCCCTGGATAGTTTAATATTCTGCTCTAGATCTTGTTTGCTGTTTTGTTTTGAAGAGCACTGAAATGCAGTTACTGCTGTCTTCCCCACTCACACAACTCTAAATAATTTATAGAAAAGCAAAACAAAGAAAAGACTATGAAAGAAGAAAGAAGATAGCTTGGTTATGAGATATGAAGGCTTTCATTTGTTCATTCTCACTGAGCAGAGGGCTGAGGAGACATCTCTTAACCCCATGGGCTGGTAACAGCCAGACACACACCAAGAGATGCCAACAGGGATGCTCAGAGCAGCACTCGAGGATGTCACATTGACCCCTGGGCACCTCCAAATCTGCCTGAGCAAAAATACCCATCACAATCATCACAGCCTTGTTTAAAAGGGGAAAGAGTAAAGAGCATTTAAAGGTGAAAGAAAAACAACCTCAGCCACCACTTAGGACCACCACAAGGGCAGGGAGCTGCTTTCCAGACACACTGCATCACCTAGGTTATCCCTGGCTCCTCCATGGAGCCAAAAGGAGTCCCTGTCCCCACTCCTGCCACTGTGGCTGCAAAATCTGTCTGGAAAGCCCACACAAGAAAGGAAGGATGGTTCAGCATCACCCAAGATCCTTCCCTGCACAGAGCAAGCCAGCACATCCCTTCCTTGCTCCAGCTGGAGTCACTCACAGCACTAATGTGCTTTGCTTTTGTTTATTCAAATGCATTTTACTGTGCATTGCAGGTGAACAATATTAAATGGCTCATAATAACATTTCCATAAGCAGAGGTGGGTGTAGCAGCTTCTGAGAGACAGATTTTAGAAATGCAAGCAATCAAGAATGTGTTAGCAGAAACACCCTGGGGAACGCGCCGCTCCCCAGCAGAGGAGAGAGAGAGAAAAGCCACCAACCTTTCTTCTCGTAGTCAGGTTTCTCCTCCCCGCCCCGGCCCAGGCTCTCCAGTGTCCTTGTCACCTGGCTGCCAAACTCATCCTCCCTGGCGCTGGGCTCTGCCCGCCGCGGCGTCTCCTCCTCCTCCTCGTCCTCGTAGTCGTCCAGGATGGGGGTCTCGCGGATGGGCACCCCGATGACGGAGTTGTGGGCCTGCAGGCGGGAGTTGCGGAAGCTCTCGCGGGCCTGGGGGCCCAGCAGCACCGAGGGGATGTAGTGGATCTCGTGCGTGGCCTCGGTGCTGGCGCTCTTCTGCGGGATGCGGCGCCGCTTGTGCCAGCGCCGCTGGGCGTACAGGGCCACCATGAACACCAGCAGCAGCAGCAGCAGCGCGATCAGCCCACCCTGCAGGGAGAGCACAGGGCACTGTCAGGGGTGTGCAGAGTCCAGGGAGGGGTGACGGGTGCTGCAGGGTCCATAGAATCACGGAATGATGGGGGGATGAGATCCTAAAGCCCATCTCATTCCAACCCCCGCCATGGGCATGGACACAGAATTCACAGAATCACTGGATTGGAAGAGACCTTCAAGATCATCGAGTCCAACCCAGCCCCAACCCCTCACCTAAACCCTGGCACCCAGTGCCACATCCAGGCTTTGTTAAACACACCCAGGGATGGTGACTCCACCACCTCCCCAGGCAGCCATTCCAGAACTTTATCACTATTTCTGTAGAAAACTTTTTCCTAATATCCAACCTAAATTTCCCTTGGTACAGCTTGAGACTGTGTGCTCTGGTTCTGTCAGTTCCTGGAGAAAGAGCCCAGCCCCAGCTGAGCACAGCCACCTTTCAGGAGCTGTAGAAAGTGATAAGGTCACCCCTGAGTCTCCTTTTCTCCAGGCTGAGTACCCCCAGCTCCCTCAGTGGTTCCTCGCAGGGTTTGTGTTCCCAGCCCCTCTCCACCCTCGTTCCCTCCTCTGGACATGCTCCAGCATTCCAAAATCCTTCCCAAACTGAGGGGCCAGAACTGGACATCATCCACTAGGGCAAGGTTGCTTCACCCCTATCCAAACTCAAACACTTCCAGGGATGGTGCACCCACAGCTTCCCTGGACAATCTGTTCCAGTGCTTCACCACCCTCTGAGCAAATTCCCAGAGCATCCTTCCATCAACAGCCCCCAAACCACACACAGGGGATTCGTGGAGCAGCCACCTCTCAGGTGTGAGGTCATGGGCAGGTAGATGAGGATGCCAGGGATGGTCTTCAGCTGGGAATAGCACAGTGATACCTCCAGCTAAACTCTGACCATTCTCCCAGGGACTTTGTTCTCTCCACCTCACTCTTTGGGACCCCCAGGCCCCACACAGGGGGGAAGGGGAATGGGGATAATCACAGTCCACCACTTAGGAGAAAAAAACTCATTAAAACCACCCAACTGTCACCCAGCAGCAATAAAGCCTTAGCAGAGACACACATCTCCCAAAAATGATGGTGCAACAAATGGCCCCTCACAGGCAATGCTCCCAAGGCATGGTTACCCCGGCTCCAACATTTCTGGTTTGATTTCCCTGTGGTTTCAAGATCAGCTGCAGAGCTGGGGCACAGCACAACATATTCCAGACTCAGACCTTTTCTACTCAGCTCTTGTTTTTCCCCTCCTCCAAATTTTATTCAACACAGCTCTCAGCAACATTCATATTGAAAATAAAAATCTTTACCAAAAAACCTAAACTTCCAAATCTCTATATGTACATGGAAGTAGCACATCCTCTCAAGGGAGCCTGGCTAGAGTATCAAAGGGAGCCAGCCCTGCCTCTGGCTGCTCTGGAAGTTAAATTCATCCCTACACACACAAGAGCTGTGCTTGTGCCAGCTCCCAGCCTCTTAATCTCTGCAGCATCAGAGCAATTTTATCCCGTGGCAGACAAGCAAGGCAGGGCATGTAAATCAGGAGCAGCACGAGTGACCAGGGCTTTGCAGCATGACAGGAACAGCCAGGGCAGGCGTTCCTTGGGCACCTGGGGTGCAGAGGCTGGAAACATTCCCTCTGCATTCCAAACGCTGCAACTCTGACTCCTGAACAGGAGCAGCTGTGAGGAGGTGGCAGTGGAAAGCCACAGGTCACAGGATGAGCTGCCTCACAGGAGGGGCCCAGCACAGCACACCTCACATCAGGATCCCCTCCTCTCCTGCCAAATTTTCCTCACACACGCAGGACTCGGGTTCAGGATACGGCTCAGCTTGAGTTCCCCAATTTGCACGATGTGCACCATCAGGAAATGTCTTTTGCTGCCCAGGAGATGCTCAGGGATCCCTGCATGGCAGAGGGGCAGGGCTTGGTGAGCTGCCCAGGTTATGCCCTGCACTACCAGGGCACTTCAAGGACCAGAGGGACGAAGACCCACCATGGTCTTCCATGCTCAGAAACAAGAACCAGCATGGACACTTCAGCCTGGGAGAGCAGACTTGAGTTTCCTTGGATTTGCACAGTTCCTGAGCACCACAGGAGCTCCCTGGCCTGAGCCACCCACACCCCTGGCATTTCCTCAGACACCCACTTTGCAGGATGTGACATTCACACTCTCTGCACAGAGAGACTAACTAACTCTGTCTCTCAGGATTCCCTGGAGAAGCACAGAGAGGAGAAAACAATCTTTATCGCTGCTCCTTTGTTTTGCACATGTGGAATGTGGTGAGGAGATTGTTTACCTGCAGTGATGGCTGCGCTGGATTCTGGTGAAGATTGTTTGGGGTCAGTGACCAATGGATCCAGCTGGGTTGGGCTCTCAGCAGAGAGTCACGAGTTTGAATTAGGTAAGTAAGAAGTAAGTATGTAGAATAGGACAGTATATCTTTAAATAGTGTATTAATGTAATACAGTATAGTTTTAATAAAGCTATCCTTCAGCCTTCTGATCTGGAGACAGACATCATCATTTCTTCCCACATCTGGGGTTCACTGCATTTTACTACAGCAGGACAGAAACCATGGCACACCAGGAGGGAGGCCAGGCCGGGTGACAAGGACACAGCAGGGCCCCAAACTTCAACACAACAAACTCCACTGCAAAACCAGGTCTGGTTCATGTGCCAGCATCTTTACAGCAGAGAGAGGGGTCTCGTGGCCCCTCTGAAGGGCTTCAGAACAACACTCCTGGATGTGATTGCTGGGAAAAAATCTTCTCCAAGACCTTTACCACCAAATTCCTGAGCTGCCCAGCTGGGTATCACTCACTCCTTTGTGCACTCTGCTGCTGGGAAAGAGCTGCAGGGCAGAGCACTCTGCACCCATGGGCACACAGGCACTCACTCTCTGTGGAAAAGCAGAGCCAGAGACATCCCAGATGCTCAGAAAAGGTCAGAGTGACAGAAAAAGCCTTGCAGGAGGAGCAGCTGTGCCAGCTGGACACAAGGAAGGGTTTTAGGTGCCCATGGCAGCCTGGGACTGTGAACCTTCCTGGCTGGCTCACCTTATATCTGCCCCTGGGAAATGTCCTGGAGACAATAACTGTTGGCATATTAACGAAAGATCTCTCTGCTTAGAGAACCTACACGAAGGCATGAAGGCACAGATGTTCCTGGTGTGCCATTCCCCCTCTGACTCAAGAATGACAGGGCTGGCTCAAGGAAGCCCAGGGCTCCCAGCCCAGCTACAGCTCCCACATCCTTTGGGGATGAGCCAGAGCTCTCTGCTCTGCCAGTCACTGGGACAGTGGCCCCTGGGAAAGGCTGGAGGTGCCTGTGCCAGCCCCCTGGGTGAGCACCATGGGCTCATCACAGGCAGCTCAATTCCAACCTGCTCCTTTTGTCCCTGACCCCGTGCTGGCAGCTGCTTGTTTAACAACACCATGCCTGGAGAGCTTCCTGGGGAAAAGGGGGAAAAAAAAAAAGTTAAACTTAGCAGGCATTCAAGCCAGCCCCATTTTAATCTATTTTTTATGTTAAATTATCCAACTGAGGGAGCGGGAGAGAGAAAGGGGAAAGAAGGGATAATATGAGAAATGTTTTATTTGACAACGTGTCATTCGGAAACTGATTATTTCTGTCTCCGAGCTTTTTAATATTCCCAAACAATGGCCGAGCCGCGTGGGGATTTGGTATTCTAAGGCTGGATTTATAATACTCTGTTCTGCAGTGATAAGAACACGGGCCTTTAATCCTCTGAGCTGTGAACATGCATATTCTCCCACGTAATGTCCTTCCTGCCATGCTCCTGCTGCCCTGGGCTGGCCCAGCAGGGGCCACCAGCACCAAGACCCACAGGAGAGGAGAAGGAATGGGAGAAGGAAGATGAGGGAGAAGAGGGATGGTGGGAACAACCTGCATGTAGAAAGAGCTGCAGGGCTTGTGGCACCAGAGCAAAGCTCAGCTGAAGCTGAAGAGCAGCAAGTCTGGGAGTTATTTGAAGCTCAGAAGGAAAATCAATGGGAGAGGCCACACTGAAGAGATTGGAGCCTCACATAAATGATGAAGGCTGCCACGCTGTTGGATCGGAGGGCCATCGCTCTGTAGGAGTCTCTGAGATGCTGAGCAACTTCTGGGCAGCAAGAGGAGACATTGCTGCTTTGAACACAACCCCCACCCTGCCCTGCCAAGCCAGTGAAGGACAAGGGAGTCCCACTGCTCCTCTGGAGTCCAGACAAACTTCCTTGCGACAGCTCTGCTGCCCACAGCACTGGGATGTGGTGTGATCCCTTGGAGGAATCCCCATCCCTGCAGCCTTGCAGTCACACAGGGACAGCCCAGCTGCTCAGAAATCAAGCCCTGACAGTCTTCCAGCTGCCACACCAAGAGGGCTGAAGTCACAGGAGAAAAGCCCAGGCTGGAGGGGATAATTTGGGCTGGGCAGACCTCTTGTACCACAGCATCCCTTGTGTAGGTCAAAGCAAACCCAGTGCTCAACAGCACAACACTCAAGTTGGTGCTGACCTGGGCCCCTTCCTCCCAACACCAAGGCAAATTTTTGTCCTCAGGCAAGAATATCCCTCTTTCTTTCCTAACTTGAAGCTATTTACTGTCCAACATTGGGCTGGCAACCAGCCCAGTGGCTACTGAGCTGCTGCTGGATGAAGCAGGGCTCTCACAGCCCCGGACACAGCTCGAAGGACAATCCCCCAGGACTCCTCAAGGATGCCCCATGGGCTGAACGAGCCCCCAGGGCTGGAGCATCACACCCCCTGCCCCATCCCAGCAGGTAAATTAAGGTGAGCAATCAGGTACCAGCACTAACCACACAACCCTCGGGGCTCTTCACACTGTGTACTTTTCCTTTCTTTCCTTTCTTGCTGTAAAGGTAATTAAACACTAGGACAATTTACTAAGGGGTGTAGTGGATTATCCATCATTGTCAGTTTTAATTTTTTTTTTTTAAATAAAGCCTGGATGCTTTTTGAAAAGTCATAC